GGTCTGGACCACTCGTGAATTTTGTTTGTATCTGAAAAAAATCTTAGAATACGAAAACATTGGTGAATGCCACAAATTCTCCTAAATCACTCGTACGTACAACTTAAGAACAAATCTGTGCGTACGAACGGTTCTTGCATGAGGCCCACTATCACCAATTTTACACCAATTTTAGACATTTAAAATCCAAACGGCTGAGAACACCAAGTTCACCCAGCTAACATGGCTAAGCTAACCATTTGAGAGGAAACGCTAAAGAGAAGAAACAAGTTTCTATGAAACAGCAATGAGTGGGGAACAAAATGACAGGACAGCGAACTGAGTTCATCTAAGACCATCTCATCGCTGCAGCGGAGAAACTAGGTTTACGTCACGGTGCTGTTGGAGCCACAGTTATGTCCGACCTACACCCTCAACACTACACAGTCGACACAGGGTGAAGAAAATAGTTCACCATTGCCTGGTGTATGTTTTTTATTCCTTTATGACAATAAAAACTTAAAGAACATGAAGACAGGTTTTGGTTACTGCAGTGCAGAGCTATGAAGGTGTCACGATAACTTTAATAATAAATTAATGAAATTATGATATGCAATCTGTGCATCTGTGCTGTAAAAAAAGTTAAAAGTTAAAGTTTCTGACTCAGCCTCGGTTGATCCTTATTTTGAAATTACTATGATAAGTATTCAGGACAAATAATCTTGATCAGGACATTTCTAGATGAAGACACGCCTTTCAGATACTCATCTAATGAAGATTGTTATTTTAGGCCTGACACTTGTTTTGGTGTCTTCGACTTTCCTCGTGTTTTTATGCAGTTCGGCTCAGATTCGAGGACTGGCCAGAAAATGATTGAAAAAGAAGCCAAGGTCCAAAGAAAAACTTTTCTTGGTTTCTTTTAGGAATCACTTGTACGACAAATCAGCTTTAAAGTCTATGCTCTAACCATCCCACAGCATTGGAAAGTGTTTAACTGATACATTTAGTGACCTGTCCTTTTATGTCTCCGCAGACACACACCCAGACACTCAACCAAAGCACTTAACACACCTATGACCTGCCAACAGGCTGTGTCACTGCACTCTCAACTACACCATCTGCCACATGTACACAGGTAACTCAAGCCTGCAAATGGAGACGCGCCTTCACTTAAATATGTGGACCGGATGCCAATAACCACAGCGTTTGCATTAAGTACAACAAATAAAATAGATGAATGCATTTTTTTTCATATGGTTACTTCCAAACTGGCAAACAGGAAACCACATTAATATGAAGAGCTGCTTTGTTCAAAAGATACATCAAGACTTTGTTATTATGTATTTAAATATATTTAGAAACCTTAACAGTACAGGTTACATTTTATGTACCCAAAACAATTAGCTAAACAGATTTAAAAAAAATCTATGTCAGACTTAAAATCATCCTTTTTAAACACACACTTTTGCGTAAGTAAAGCTGTTTTGGCTCTCAGTGTGTGACACAATCACGTCTAAGTTTAAGCTCCACTTCAGAGCTGGTGCTTAGGGTAATGTAGTGTGAGAGAAGGTAAAAATATTACAATTTTTCAATCAAATTCAGACGATCCTCTGCACAGACACACGGTCCTCCTGCGCCACCCAGTGGTTACTGACAGAACTACAACAGCAGGTGATTCAAGCGTGTGCATTATAACCATCACTTGCTGCAATGCAACACTGGGTATGCTTTGGATGAGGGAATGTCATTATAACATGATACAGAGCTTAAAAAAATTGTGTTTTTTAACGTTTTATAAAGTCATTTTTAATTCTACCTGACAGCGATGCTCAAAACTCTATCTAAATCCATGAAATTATTGCAATATTTTTACACCTCAAAAACGCAGCATTTAATGATGGTGTGTGTGTGTGTGTGTGTGTGGTGTGTGTGTGTGTGTGTGTGTGTTACCTGGCCACATCCTGTGAGTTATTGGTCCTCGCTGCCTCAAGAAGAGCATCACCTTGTCATTAGAGAAAAACAAACATTAAACGTTACAAATAAATGGCAATAAAAGCAAAAACGCAACAGTAAAAAAAAGTAACGAAATTAATCTAAAACTGAAATATCTCATAAAAGCATCAGGGGGAAACAAATGGTTTCTATTGGTGATTTAAGGAGAGCGCGTCATTCTGAGTTGTTGCGGACGTAAACTTGTCAGAGATTTATTTTAATTTAAAGGATGATTCGGTGTACCTTTGTTATCAGCGTCTTTCCTCAGACAAAATGCCACCGCTGCTGCGGACAGCACACCGGCATAATCCACTCCTGCACGGCTGGCTCCTTCACCTGTTCCTCGGCCTTCGCCCCGGCCGCTCTCCTCCCAGTACCGGTTGTTGTGGCGCCCCCTGCTGGCCAGAGCAGCCCAGGAGTTGCGGCGGTTCTCCAGGTTCGACAGCCATCTTGGGGCGAGGTGGTGGTACTGCACGGATGGGTTCACACAGGAGCCGGAGGTCTCCTCGGACAAAATACCTCTCCCGGAGACCCGGGACGTGGAGACGATGGGGTTACGGTTCGTCTCCGCCGGTGTCTCGCGGATGCCCTGATTCTTTGAGGCGCCGCTGGAGCTGGTCTGGAGCACGCGGCTACACGGCGACAGGCTGCGCGACCTTCGCGTTAGTAGCCTGGCGGGAACAGATGATAACATGGCAATAAACTCCCAGAAAACCACCAGATGGATAAAACCTTCAGTCCGACGCTAACTCCTGAAGAAGAAGCAAGTTCAGTGCGGCTTTAATCCAAGCTGTTAATCGTCTGTCCCTCAGCTCACCGGCTACACGTTAAACACATCAGGACGAAAATAATCTTAGTGTGGATGTCACCAGAAGCCGTGACGCATTCTGGGAAATTGAGTTTTAGCCGTATAAAGCGGCTGCAATGTTTCTCAGCAGTTATCCTAGATAACTAAGTTTTCCGTCAGTGTTTTGCTTGTAGGTAAACTGGTGTAAGTTTCAGTCAAACCATAGTGAGGAGTTTCCTCATATAAAAACCAAATAACTTACATTGTTACTCATTTGTTGAAAACATAAACAAACCTTAGCTTGTCCAACATGAAAAAAGTCGTTTCTCAGGCTTTCTAATGCAATTAACTACTAAAATATTTTTCATATCTGATGTTTGCCTTATCTGTCTATGGAAGCCCATTTCCGCCACCCTGATAAAAAAATAAAACTTGTATCTCATAATTATGACTTAGCTATCTCATAATTATGAGATACTATCTCATAATTATGACTTAGCTAGCTATCTCATAATTATGACTTAGCTATCTAAGTTATAATTATGAGATACTATCTCATAGTTATGAGATACTATCTCAAAATTATGAGATAGCTAAGTCATAATTATGAGATAGGTAAGTCATAATTATGAGATACTATAATTATGAGATAGTATCTCATAATAATGAGATAGCTAAGGTATCTCATAATTATGAGATACAAGTTTTATTTTTTTATCAGGGTGGCGGAAATGGGCTTCCATTTTGACTGATGTAATGTAATAGATCGTGTAGAAGTTTGTTTTTAGTACAAAATACATCACTTTTGTTTATTTATTGTGCACAAACAATGGAAAGAGGATTATTTTGATTTTCTAGGAGTTTCGCTTTTGTCTACTTTGTACATACACAACGACAAAAACTGTTTTCCATACATAAATACAAAAATACATGTGATAATGCATCATGACCACCAGATGGCATCAAACCCATTGGTTAGATCATAATTGCATGACGTATATTTAAGAAATCTAAATTGAATACTCCTAAATATAGTCTTATTTTCAGACACAGTTCTGAGACTGTTTTCCTCATAAAATCAGCATGAACTATACAGATGTGAATAAACCCAAACTTCATTTTACAACTCTAAGGAATGAAAGGTCTGGTTTAAATAACATTGTTATGTTAACCGATCCCACTCAACTAAATTGTTTAATGTGAAAACAGTAATAACGATTTCAATATTTTTTCTTATCAAATAGTTATAATAGATTAAGCCCATTTTAGAGCCCCAGAAGCAAAAGGAGCTAAATAGCTCAAGGTTTGTTAATAAATAGGAGCACTTGGCCTAAAGCACTTTGAGGCAGTCTTCAGTCAGTAAAAGGAACAGTACATTTCAAGCATTGTGGCAAATTGGATTAAAGTAGCACTATATAGTCACTTTAATCTCTCTGATTATTGCTTCAATGTAACAAAACCTGCTTATGTCTGTTGAATTTAAACCAAAAGTATTAGATTCAAGATAAAGTAATTGTATAACACAAACATATATCCATCACACACGTCAGAATATCCTGCCATTTATGTTTCTTGCAATAGAAAATCTCTTTCAGAACATTTACCACATCGTACATATTATTTGATGGTGATGATAGAGCGCGAACCTCGGAGGAAACACAGTTTATCACTTCCTGCAGTTACAACCTAGCGTGGTTGAGCCAAAGATAAACCTATCAGCTTGTTTGTGCAGTTTACCTTCTCATTTCATTTAGAGAAGTGATGCAGAAAAAGACATGAACAGACAGGAATTGAAAGCACTAATTAATAATTCAGGAAAAGAACAATACTTTTAAGAATAATAATACTTGTGATGACAAGCGACTGGTCCTGGGTGTACCCTTATTAAAAAACAAATGGGTAAAAAAATAGATGGATGGATGCTGGAGTTACCTTGGACAGATTTTTACGACATTCAAGGTCACATTGGTTAATACTTTCTAATTATCACATTACGCAACATTTTTAAGAGAAAAAAGCATGTCCTTCCACTTCCTTCAGTGCAGGATGCTTGTAATTTATGAAACGAGTTAGTGATGCACTCGCAGTAGACTTGCTGTGCCTCAGCAGTCGTGACTCATAGAGAACTCCACCATCATAAATCCACTGGCAACTTTCAGAGTTGTCACCGTGGGTTTCCATCATAAATACGCAACATTCATTTCCCCCAGCAGACACATCTGTTATGACACTGCATTATTACTGACTCGGTGTGGCAATGTATAAGTCTGGGTTCATAGTTCCAACCAAAAAGTCCACCAGTGGTCAAACTTGTAGGGCCTTTTCTACTGCCGCATGCCACACATGACATTAATTGTTTGATTTTTAACTTCAGTTAATTTCTAACCAAAAATATATCTTAGACTCACAAAACATCCTGATATTTCAGATCAATATCACTTTTATGCTTGGTGACATCTTTTTCTCCTCCACTTCACAACTGAGTAACTCAAATTTGACAAGTACAGAAACTAGTCTATTGCATGAGGCTTGAGATGATCAGTGATGACTTTCATTATTGTTTTATACTAAATCCTCACTGGTTTGCATCAAATTTTTATTGTACAAATTGCTAGTTTACTACAATATCCATTATATATTGCTTTTTTTTTGTCTTGTTTCCATGGATTTTCCTACACTTACTGTCATCTTGGTGTTGATTTATGCTTCCAGGAGTAAACAAATGTACCAAGTGTCACCATGGCAAATGGAAATAATCAGATTTCTGTAAACAACTATTTATTACATGTTCTGTCAGTCACTGAAATGAAGCTGGCTTACACCCATTGGTAATGGTACTGTGTGTCAGAAAGACTGTGAAAAATTCTTGATGTGAAAGTTTACAACATTGTGTGAAAGCTATAATTAAAGTACCCGTCATTCAACTCACACACACACACACACACACAC